ATATATATATACACACACACATATATATAATACTCCTTTCCCATTAATAACTGTACAGCACGGTTCGACTCAGTATGGTTCCAAGGCTTTTTCATTAGTAACTGTTTGTATAACTGGTCCCATTTTTCAGAACCCTTTTCTCTTGGGTTCCAAGCGGGCTGAGCCGGCACCAAAATGTGACGTCAGAACACCGTCAGTCACTGATTGGGTCAGGGGGTGGAGTCACTAGAGGGGTTTGAGAAATTTTCACAACATGAAGGCCGAACCCCAATCCAGGCAGATGGGCGGACTGGGATTGGTCTGGGACCGAGTTTGTAAACTATTTTTAAAAACATTTTATGCATTAAAAAAAAAAAAAATCCAATAATGCTCAGTCAGGTCATCTGGACAGTTCCTTCTTTTGTAGAGACGTTTCACCCTCTATCCGGAGGACTTCATCAGTCTGAGGAGTCCCAAGTAAACTGTTTCCTCACCAAACAGTACATTCCTTAAGTGGACCAACCGGTTTGCTGGAGATAAGATGGTTTCTGGGGGCCGTCCTGTCCCCCGTCGACTCCTCCCATGCAGCCACAGCCAAAGTGGTTCAAGGCAACAAAGTTCATGCTCAATCATCCAGGTACCAAATCCAATAATGCTGGAGCATTGAGCATGAACTTTGAACCTGTTTCAGCGTCTCACCGCCAGCAGCTGGTGAGGCGCATGACGTCAATTCAACCCCGCCCACTGCAACCGGTACTGAAAGAATAATGGAAACACAAAGTATACCGTACCGAGCCGAGTAGAACCATGCTGTAGCGGTACTAAAGGTACTAATGGAAAAGGGGCTAATTGTTGCCGTTTGGTAGATTATTGATCAGAACACAAGATTTTTAAAGCTACATATATGTTACCTTAGGAATAAATTTTTCAGTCTTTCTCCCTCCTTAGATGGCATTAATCTGTCCTCCAGCTCTAATGTTAAAAATCTTGGTGCCATTTTTGATTAGGACAAGTCTTTTATCCCCCACATTAAAAACGTTATTAGAACTATCTTCTTCCACCTGCGTAAATAGCTAAAATTAGAAACATCTCATCTAAAAATGATGCAGAAGAACTGGTTTGTGCATTTGTCACATCTAGACTGGACTATTGCAATGGTTTATTATCTGGATGTCCAAATACTTCTTTAAAATGTCTTCAGTTGATCCAAAATGCTGCTGCCAGAGTCTTAACCAGAGTTAGTGGGAGAGATCATATCTCTCCAGTTTTAGCTTCTCCTCATTAGCTCCCTGTCAAATCCAGAATTGAACTCAAAATCTTACTTCTAACCTACAAAGCTCCCAACAACCTAGCTCCATCTTATATTACAGATCTTATTGTTCCATATTTTCCTAAAAGAGCACTTCGCTCTCAGGCTGCAGGTTTACTTGTGGATCCTAGAGTTTACGAAACCAAAATGGGAGGCAGATCTTTCAGTTATCAGGCTCCTCTCTTGGGGAAGCAACGTCCAATCTCTGTCCGTGAGGCTGACACATTATCCAGTTTCAAAACTAGGCTTAAGACTTTCCTTTTTGCTAAATCCTATAGTTAGGGTCGGCTTGGGTTTCCTGAGCTGTCCCTTAGTTATGCTGCTATAGGCTTAGACTGCTGGAGGACAAACTGACCACACTTTTCACTCTACTTCTGTCTTTACTTACTCTGCTCAACCTGTTTTGTATTTGTAATTTTTTTTTCTATCATTAACATGTGTTTTTTTTTGTCTTTCAGATACACCTGGACCTATATCTGGACCTCTCAACCAGCCGGTCAAAGCAGATGGCCGCTTGTCCTGAGCCTGGTTCTGCTGGAGGTTTCTTCCTTTTAAAAGGGAGTTTTTCCTTTCCACTGTTGCCACTGTGCTTGCTCAGGATGGGAGACTGCAACGAAGCCAAGATTCAACTTGTCTGCTGGACTCCTTAGATAGAGAATTTTACCAATTGGCTTTTATGTATGTGAATGTTCCTGTAAAGTGCCCTGACACAACTTTGTTGTGATTTGGTTCTATATAAATAAACTGAATTGAATTGAATTACAAGTTTGAGCCCGTGTACTACATAAAGTGAAGTCATGGTAAAATTTTATATATAGGGTTCTTCTTCTTCTTCTTCTTCTTTCAGCTGTTCCCTCTTCAGAGGTCTCCAGTCTGTCCTCACTACAACTACCTCCATGTCCTCTCTAACTGCATCCATATATCTACTCATTGTCTTTTTCCTGGCAGCTGCATTTCTAACATCCTTCTACCAATATACCCACTGTGCCTCCTCTGGACATGTCCAAACCACTGTCCTTCCTCTGGACATGTCCAAACCATCTCAGTCTGGTGTCTTTATCTCCCAGTTGTTCAACCTGTTAATGTATTTAAATGATATAAACTCAGAATTCCACCTCAACAAACATGTTTTTAAATCCAAATCACACATTACCGTTTCTACCCATCACCACCTATGCAGCCACAGTTCAGTTTTGAGGGATGCTGGTTTAATTTTTCTGGTTCTGAGTGACGGCTCATGATCACGTCTTTTCTTAAACCAATCTCTGAAAACAGAGCTTTCTGCAGATTTGTTCGGTTCAGCTGTAAATGGGACTACAAACGTCTTCTCTGAAGCTCAAGTTGTTTTTGAACCAGACATGGAGCCGTTTCTCATGTTCAGATCACATCATTAAACTAAATATAGCAGATAAAAAAAGACTCTTGGCCGAGCGGCACCACATCAGACAGAAAATCAGAAGTCAAGTCCAAACAACTAAACTTTCTGCAAAGAGTTCGTTCATGTACTTATAAGTCTATTACCATTTTTGTTAAATTGGGCTTTGAAATATCAGTTTGTTGTACAAAAAAAAGTCTAGAATCATTATTTGATATGACAAATATTAAAATGTAGGTATAAGAATAAAACGTCCATCCTCTTTCAGTTGTGTGCGTCAGGACAGATACCAACGAATCTGGTCTGTATCCGGTTCTAAACTGATCCTGCTGCTGATCCTGCAGCTTCTAGAACCTCCTTCAGCAGCAGGAACTCTCAGTGGTTTTCTGTGGGACTTCCTCTACCTCTCACATTGTTGTGCAGGAATTCTGGCCCACTCACATGGGCCCTACCTGAGCAGACGTTCATACGTTGTAGTGCTTTGCATTTGAAGAATGTCAGTGGTCTTAAATCTTTTCCAATTGTTAATAATCGTTGTAGAAAGATGGATTCTAAGTAGTCTGTAAATGACCTTGTAGGAATGTAGACAGACCAGTAAGTTGAGAGCGGCGCCACCGCTCCCGAAGGGGGAGTGGTGAGGTTAGAGAAGTGAACCTGTGATTGAAGGTTGCCAGTATGAATCCCCCGGCTGACCGCAACATCAAAATAAGGGCGGGAAAGTTGAAGCACCCATACCTGCCTCCACCCTCATTTGCCACACTCTGGGCCCTTAAGCCCCCCCCACCCCCCCACCACCACCACCTCACTCCACCCCTCGTTTGTCTCTATGTGTCCCTGTAATGGACTGGAGACCTGTCCAGGTGTCCCCCGCCTCTTACACAGTGATAGCTGGATATGGGCACCAGAGCCCCCATGACCCGAAAAAGAAGAAGCAGATAAAGATACTGGATGGATGGATGATTTCATACCACAGTAGGTTTACTGAGGGAAATAAAAAGCTGCAGCTCTGCAGCCACACCTTCTGTTTGCATGAACCAGGGAGGAAACTGGGAATGCAAACATGCAGCGTGCATGAGCCTCGCTGCGTTGTCGAGCTTGAAGTGGACAGACAAACGGAACATGTCAGCACACTCAGAAGCTGCAGGAATAAGAAGGTCCAAAGCTCTGGTCTACGGTTTCAGGTCCAATTAGTTCACGTCAAACACTCCTCCACAGCACACTGCTTTTCTGAGAGCAGTTACAACACGTTGGAGGTATGTTTTGATCTGAGAGTTTCTGGGAAAAACAGATACACATAATCTGAACTTTATCTCAAATTTATCTGGGACATGAGCGGTAACTAAAAAAAAAAAAATCAACAACAGAATGAAGAAAAAAAACTTTCTGTGAATTATTACAAGAACAGAGTGAATGAAGCAGTGGAGGACAGGGATGGACTCCTGTTTATCTGGAGACACAGGAAGTGAGCATGATAAACAAAGTGGTATTTCCTGTTGGTGACACAGCAGTTAAGTGTGTCTGCAGGAGGAGTTAAACTGAAAGTGATGCTCAGATAAGAAACTATCAGAAACACAAGGAGAAACTAAAGTTTACTCAGTGGGGCTGTCAGAGGAACTACCATCCAAAACATAGTTTACTTTGAAGGTTTTATGCTAATCCAGCATTTTTCAGTCAGATGATCTGGACAGTTTCTTTTTTTGTGCTGAAACGTTTCGCCTTCGGTCCGAAAGGCATTATCAGTCAAGGAAACGCACAACAAAACTGATTCTTCCCCCAACAGCTTACTCCAAAGTGGAACAAACCAGTTCTGCTTGTGATAAGATGGTCTCTTTGGTACGCCCCCTCCTCCATTGCCGGCCCTCTTCCTTGTTGACAGTCAAGTCAAAATGGTTGAAAACAACAAAGTCCATGCTCAATAAACCAGGTATACAATCCAACAATTTCAGTCAGGTCATCTGGACAGTTTCTTTTTTTGTGCTGAAACGTTTCGCCTTCGGTCCGAAAGTCTTCATCAATCAACGTTTCAGCACAAAAAAAGAAACTGTCCAGATGACCTGACTGAAAAATGTTGGATTGTATGCCTGGATTATTGAGCATGGGCTTTGTTGTTTTATGCTAATGTTGTTTTTCTCTGTCAAGAGGCTGTCACACAGTGACGTATATTATCAGCGTAAGGAAAACACTGCAAACATGCTGGTTTAAGTGGCATAAGTTAGATGTAAGTTTTTAATAAGTCACCAGCATGCTGATACACGATGCTAAGTGTGTTGTACGCCATGCTGGCCCAAAATTTTGTAAATGCACAAAACGTTTAGTGTATGTTGGCATGTTGCTCATATGTTAGGTATAAGTTACAGGTATGCAACAGGTAAGTTATACACAAGGGGTGGCTGTGGCTGAGTGGTTAGAGCAGTTGTCCTCCAATGCGAGAGTTGGGGGTTCGAATCCACCAGCAGTCACATGCTGACGTGTCCCTGGGCAAGACACTGAATCCCTCATAGCTTCTGATGTGTGTCCCATCAGTGTATGAATGTGATAAAGCTCTGATTAGTCTCTTTAGAATGATTTGTTCAATTAGCTTTGTAGAGATCTAGTAGAGTGCTGTATGAATGGGTAAATGAGGACACAGATTGTAGTGTAAAGCGCTTTGAGTATCTTGAAATAAGATAGAAAGGCGCTATATAATTACAGTCCATTTACAAGTTCACACACATTACATGTAAGTTAAGATGACATATGCTGGAAAGCAGCAGGGAAATTTTGTAGTGTATGAGTAACTTATTTTGGAATTGCATGACAAAATCTGAAGTGGCAAAGAAGTATGTCAGACTGGTCCAGGACATATATGAGGACAGCTGGACATATTAGACGGTACAGGACATGTATGAGGACAGCTGGACATGCTAGACTGGTACAGGACATGTATGAGGACAGCTGGACATGCTAGACTGATACAGGACATGTATGAGGACAGCAGGACATGTTAGACTGATACAGGAAATGTATGAGGACAGCTGGACATGTTAGACTGGTACATGACATGTATGAGGACAGCAGGACAGGTTAGACTGATACAGGACGTTGAGGACAGCAGGACATGGTGGACTGATACAGGACATATATGAAGACAGCAGGACAGTGGTGAGATGTGCTGTAGGAGTGACCGATAGCTTCAAGGTGGAGGTGGGAGTGCATCAAGGATCAGCTCTGAGCCCCTTCTTGTTTGCTCTGGTGATGGAGCGACTAACAGATCAAGTTCAAGTCAACTTTATTGTAATTTTCATCACATGTGGTACATGAGGTGGAACAAAATTATGTACATAGCATCCCACTTACACACAAAAATAGCAAAATATAAAGTACTAAAAGAAAACATAAATAAGGATCTAAGATATACGCTAAACACTAATAATGTAAAACAATATGGCATATCAACAGCAGCCCGAACATGAATCTGTCATGAGCAGATGGGTATGAATGAATAAAACAGCAGCATGGGATAATCAGCATCATGAGATCAGCAGCATGGATAATCAGCAGCACAGATAAGTCACATATCACCAATTCAAGTAGCATTACAGTGATTTTTTTAAACAGATGAGCTCAGGCAGGAATCCCCGTGGACTATGATGTTTGCAGATGACATTGTGACCTGTGGTGAGAGCAGGGAACAGGCAGAAGAGAACTTTGAGAGTTGGATGTATGCACTTGAAAGAAGAGGAATGAAAGTCAGCGTAGTAAGACAGAGTACATGTGTGTGAATGAGAGTGAGGCTGGTGGAACAGTGAGGCTACAAGGAGCAGAGGTCACAAAGGTGCAGGACTTCAAGTACTTGGGGTCCACTGTCCAGAAAAAATGGGGAGTGTGTTAAAGAGGTGAAAAAGAGAGTTGAGGCAGGATGGAGTGGATGGAGAAAAGTTTCAGGAGTGATTTGTGACAAAAGGGTGTCAGCAAAGGTCAAAGGAAAAGTTTGCAAAACAGTGGTGAGTCCAGCTATGTTGTCTGGTCTGGAGACAGACATGGACAAAAAGACAGGAGAAAGCACTGGAAGTGGCAGAAATTAAGATGTTGAGGTTCTCCTTAAGAGTGACAAGGATGGATACGATTAGGAATGAGATCATCAGAGGTACGGCACAGGTTGAACAACTGGAAGATAAAGTTAGAAGGACCAGACTGAGATGGTTTGGACATGTCCAGAGGAGGGACATTGGTTTGGACATGTCCAGAGGAGGGACGGTGGTTTGGACACGTCCAGAAGAGGGACAGTGGGAATATTGGTAGAAGGATGTGCAGCTGCAAGGAAAAAGACCAAGAAGAGATATATGGATGCAGTTAAGAGAGGACATGGAGGTAGTTTGAGTGAGAACAGAGGACGCAGAGGACTTAATGAAATGGAGGAGAATGACTCGCTATTGCAACCCCTTTAGATGGAAAAACCAGAAGAAGATGATTGTAGTGAACCAGATGACCTGATGATCTGACCCTCATCTGACCCTGATGACCTCAAATCTACCAGATGGACAGAGACTGTTATTTTCATTGATCTGAATAAGTCTGAGCCATCTGATGACTTTCTTTCTTGAATTAATCAAGCAGAAAAGACAATTCTTTATAATCATTACTGTCTTACAAATGTTTTGATAATCAAATTGTGTTAGTTTCACTCAATGCTTACAGGTTGAAAAGAACTACTCATTTTTATTTTTACATAAACAGTAAGTAATGATTTTTATTCCTCATTCAAAGAAGAAATCACCTGAATATGCATTTCTTGATTTTCTGTCTGAAATGAGCCAAGTCGTAAGTGTGTGAAAGTTGAAGCTTCGGTCAACTAAATGTTTACTGAAGAAGAAATGTCATGTTTAACTATTTGAGAAGATAATCAGAATAGAGACTCCACGAAGTCTGCTTTCTGCAATAATCTCTCTGTCAGTTGTTAAAACAATCTCATTCTCTGACCTTGGCTTAGATAACATCTTACGTCACAAAACCACTCCTCTTTCTGGTCCATCCACGAATCAGAAAGCTCTGAAGTAAACTCGGAAGTAAACTCATTTAAAATGTGACAACTTCCCGGTTCTGGGGAAGTGCAGTAGATTCCATGGAGTGCAGTAGATTCCATGGAGTGCAGTCGGTTCCAAGAGATTCCAGAGTTAGAGTTATGGAGAGTTTTGGAGTTGGAGTCTGAGAAGATCTGAAAGAGTCTGAGAGCTGCTGACAATGAAGAGTCAGAGTTGCCGAGGATCCAGAGACGTTTTGGGATTATGATTCTGTTTGAACTAACCACGCACGACTCTCCAAGGATTTTAGCTGTTCTCAACGGAGACGCTGATATCAGTCTGAAGGATTCTTACTGAGGTGATCTATCGTCAACAAGGTAACGGTTTCTTCTTCGACTAAAGTGTACCTGGGACAAGCTGAGATACCTGATGGGAGCGTGCAATTTCTGGTCAAACAGATTAAATTCCCTCACATATTCCTCTGTAAGATAAAATCTCCAGTTCATCTTAAACTCACCTCTCTCTCATAAATCAGTACAGATATTTTTAGAAATATCTGAAGCAAAGTCCTCAAATCACCGCCGAGTGATTTGAAGTTCATTATTTGTGAAACTTGTCTGTTATTATTTTCATATTTTGCCAAATTAATGTAAATGTTTGATGTTAAACTTTGATTCTGAAAATAAATGACTCCATTCATTTGATGGGTCAAAGATAATAACGTCTCTCGTTACATTTCTGTTAAAATTCAATGCACGACTTACACAGTCAGAAAAATGAAGAACTCGTGAAAAGTATGCATAAATATATACCACATATATTTGTCATACAACAAGTGACACGTACCCACGTGACTCACTACAAACTGGTGGCCCGTAACGGTTCATAAATGACTGTAAAAACGTGTAAGATTGATTTTTTTTTCATGTTGGCATGTTGAAAAAGTAACGGTTTGTCAGCTGTGCTGAACCGCAGCTGGAGCTGCACCGCATGAAGCGAAACGCTGCATGTTCTAAGCGTTGGGCTAGTAATGTTTTAAAAGCTGAAATTGTGTCATTGAGTCTTTATGAAAGCTGAATTTGTACGTCTGTTACGTGTAACTAAGAGCTGATGAGCTGTGGAAGACGTTATTCTGTCTAAAAGTACGAGGTTCTGCTAAGACCCGGCTGTGGGTTCGGTTCTGTTCAGTTCGAACGAGTATTTTGAATAGATGGATAAACGTTTTAAAAGCTGAGTGCCATCTCAGAACACAGTTAGGAGTTGATTCGTTACAATTTTTAACAGAAAAAGTGCATTTTGATGGTTTAAAAGACGAAAAAGTGACGAACTATTTTACGCTAATCTAACTTGCTAGTTGGAGAAAACGCTTCCTGATTGGTTGAATTCGCTGTTGTGGAGCGCTCTGATTGGTTGAGAAGGCTGACTGGCGTGGCTACGTCACTTCCTCTCACCCTGCGCTGCTTTGCCATTGGTGATTTCAGTCACGTGACCCGGAAATGAAATTCGTTTTCATAGGGAAATAAAATCTGCTTTTTAAAGCTGAAAAGTAACTTTAAAGTGGTTTTGACACGCTGGTCAAGTGCTTCGAAGCACACTCGCTGAAATTTTGTCACGTTAGACTTTAAAATTCGTCATAAAATGATGTTTTTAAACAACGCTAGCGATGCTAATTTTAAGCTAACGACCGGGGCCTTAACTACGCCTAAAATCACTAAATGAAGCTGCTATATTGTTCCAAAAACACATGTTCAGGCTAAGAAGTCGTGTTTGTTGAAATTTTGCCACGTTTGTGTAAAAAATCCGTTCAGAAATGTTGATTTTAACCGAGTTTAGCCGAAGCTAACTTCAAGCTAAGCGGCTAACAACAGGATGTCAACCGAACGCCACAGGAAGTTATAGCTCCCCTAGTGGATAACACAAACAGTGTCTGAGTTAAGATTAGTAAGGTAAGGCTGACATCTTCTGGACAACCTTGAGAAGACAGGTTTCACTCGCTTTTAGGTCTAAACAGTGAAATTAAACGTTTTAATCTTTCTAAAAGCATTTTCGAGTCAATAAACGTTCCTTAAAGCTGAAAATTACTGTTATCTTGCATTTTAAAAGTTATAAGGTATTTATGCAAACGAGCATTCACCAAAACAGTTTTATTTCACTGGTAATCCCTTAAAACTAAGGTACAAAAATAAACATTAACTTTTTAAAAATAGAAACAGTTACAGATTTTCACAAAGTTGGAAAAAGTTTACTCATTTGCTAAAAGGATAGTGCATGTTTAATT